GTGTCTGCAAACCATCGAAGAGCCGATATCCCGTGCCAGGGAGCAACACGTACCAGCATCCAGACAGATCTTATCAGGCTCAACCAAAGTTCTTATCAGGCTACCATTTGTTCCAGCGTTCTGGGCTGCCCCGCTTGAAGACCAATGCCAATAGACTAACCAAAATTATCCAGGCCAGGATGGTGGAATTCAGAAATAACGATTTTACCACCAAGATTTGCTCTCTCCCAGATTGTGCAAAGCCATTTTGGAAGATGACCAAAATTTTGAAAAATAAGTCGAGACCGATCCCTCCGCTTTCCTCTGTTGACCAGAACTCGGACCCATCCGGACTCATAACTCCAGTTGAAAAGGTCAATGCTCTTGACCAACATTCTGTGAATACACATAGGGGCTTATTACGGATGTCACTTCACGGTGAAAACTTGTCACTTGTCGTCACGGTGAAGTGATTCCCATTTGATTTGTACGGCAATCACGGCTCTTATTATTAGTATCACTTCCTTATCACCGTAAGGCCCATAATCTTGGCCAGACCATGGTGAGCCCCCTTGACCCTGCCGTACAGGAGGCAATGTCTAGAGTCGCTGACACCTCCGTAGTACCATAGAGGTAACTCTGAGACTAGTAGGTCCCAAAGAAACGTGCTCAACTTTTTGGCTTAGCTCTGGTACTATCTTCGGTCCCAAGCTAATCGATTCACCCCTCGAAACATAGTAAAATCCACTAACCCCTCATTTTATCTGCCAAACTTTCATAGCGAATCAAAACAAACATAGTGTAGCACTAGAATTTTGACTAGAATGGAATACGTTAATCGATTTGCTTGGGACCAATAGGCTAGTCAAGTAGTGAGCCAATTTAAAATCGTTAGTTTCCACCGGTTGCTATTACTATTTTAATACTTCAACAACTGGCCTTCAACAACAAGTTCTAAAATTTTCTCTAATGTGTGCAACACGTTGATGGAACGAAACTCTTCGACTTTAATCGTTCCAGCAACTTTTTGAATAGGAACCACTAAGGATTCCTTCTAAATTGGTGGCACATGTCTAGTTTGCAATGATTTATTAATAAGGTCCAGTAGTGGTAAGCGTGATTATCTCTCACACCAGCAGGCCTGGGTTCAATCCCAGTCGGCGCCGCCGGGATGTTCTGAGGCATAACATCTCTGATAACGCCTTTCTTCGGAAGGGTAGTGTAGCCGTCGGTCCCCGGTCCATTAGTTTATGGGTCGATAGGTAGGGTCCAGGTGTGGGAGCTGCCTCCCTGGCATCGGTAGCATTGGTGCTCAGCACGAAAAACAAGATCGACGGAAAACAAATCATGGGAAAAAAAAACATGCAATTGCATGAAAGCAATTTTGAATAATTATTGCAATTGATCCGAAAAATAACCCTTATTTACAAAAATGAGCGGTATATGGGGCATGAGCGGAGACTGGTTCATTGGTGGCAATTTGTTTCAAGCTATATTCTTCTTCTTCTTCTTCTTCATTCCTTTATTTAACGTCGGTCTCTGAAGGAAGACGTGACCAGAGATTTTTATGCCTCAGAAAAATCCTACCGACCTCGGCTGGGATTGAACCCAGACCCATTGGGGTGCAGTATAAAGCAGTCACGCTTACCACTACACCACCGGCGCCGGCTCAAGCGATATTCAGGCTTTAGGAGCGAAGTGCTTTAACACATGGTTGTAACTCTACTGTCTGTATCCCGGTAAAATTGCTCAGTAGCAAGAAACCTCTCGAGCTGTGCCTCAAGGTTGACTTACTACTGGGCAATCTGGAGGGGCTTCGCGATCCTAATGTGCAGTACTGTCACCTGACTAAAAGCTTTGGAAAGTTTAAGTTACACAGTAATCAAAGGGTGTATACTAATTATTTATTAATAAAAGCTATAGCAGATGTGGATTGAATTTCTAATAGTAGTTCTATTGAATTTTATGGGTGTACAGTGGGTTTTTACTATGGGGGTTTGACGTACCGGTACTGAACTGCTGCCGTTGATTCTGCTCCGCCGAAGACTACTCTGCCGATGCGCGAGCGCTCGCCGATGATCCTACGTACGACGAGCTTGACGTCGGGCGAATCAAGCCTGACAAGCCGATCTGCGGTCTCCTGGCGTCTACCCTCGTTGACGTGAATCACCAGAGTCTAGGCAAGGCCGGAGTGACTCTTTTGCGTTTAGAGCCGCCTTGGCCCGAGGAATGCGGCGATTTTGACCTTGCAATGCCAAATCGAAATGATGTCCTTTACTGTTAGGATTAATAGCCACTAAGGACCAATAATCCGACTCGTGTGCTTCCTGACCGACTTAGTCGGTTGGTTCACAAAATGGCGCTGTACCGAATGGTACCACAAAAAGGTCCTGATTGAACAGATAGGTATTCCCGCGATTCACCACTCACTTTTATTACTTTAAGGACACTTGGTTTTAACGATCCGAAGCACACGATACTGAATGAGGAATTGCTCTTCTCGTGAGTCGTTATTTTCCACCCATTTTGAATTCATAGTTTCGCCCGAATGTTGTTGTACCCACTGGTAGAATATTCATACCCACTGTACTGTTGTACGGTTTTATACAATTTTCAAATTTAAAAACAATTAATCCTACTAACAAAATAACATTTTTTTACAACGACTACTAACCCTACTAATCCAACACCAAATAACTTTAAGACACGTGACGGTACATTTAACAACCATGCACAAATTAAAAATCTAACATGTTTTGTAACAAACGGTTACATGGTAAAAACCGAAGGGGGCGACTCTATCTCCATGCAGGAAAAATTGTGTTTTGCTGTGGTTAGTTACGCAAACGCTGCGTAGATTGATGACGATTCTGAAGAAAAGATGATGCGCGATGCAAGAAGATGCGAGAAATTAATGAAGATTTTTCGAAGATTGATTCGATAGTGTGAGATTTGTTGAGCATCTAGAATTGAGATTTAGATGCGTCGCCCCCCTCGGTAAAAACTCAGATCTAACTTAACGAGACTGCCATTTATGAATTCAATCCTGTCCAAAACCGTTAAGCTGGGTTTAGATAGGGCAAGTCAATTTATCAAGTCAGTTGAATTCAACTGACTTGAACGCGAATTGAACGTGTAAACCATGCCATACAACTGACTTGATCAACTCACTTGAATAGAAAAAAGTTGAACCAGGCTCAACTTTCCAAGTCAACTGAATTCAACTGAGTTGATCATTTGACTTGCCTAGTCTAAACCCAGCTTTAAGCAAATTTAGTTCTCTTGATCAGATCTGCAGCACTGATTCCAGCTACTTTCTGATAAATGATGTCAACAGAGACAGAGAATCCAATCTGAAATAAAGGGCTAAGTTCAGTTGACCTTCAGCCGTGGCAAGATAGTCAAACCTATTATGTTCTTGATTTAATCTATTAAGAAAAATCTTACAGAAGTTAAAGTCCTTTGATTGTATTAGTCAGATACTTCAGAGACATCCAGCCAGGGAATTTCGGTAGTTTTAGTCAAATAACATACTGCAACACGCATTTCTACTCTTGTATAAAAATTGAAATACTTTACTGCAGCATTCCTCCCTCACTAGAATACCCTATCTTCATCAAATTACAATCTATATAGTCATCGCTTCGTATCAGATCATTGCGGTTTGTCTCCACCCACGCTCGAAAGAGCATTATCCAGTGCTGCTCGTACAATTTTATCTTCCTTTTCCTAGCGCTCCCGTGCTCAAAAATTCAAAAATCGAATCCCTTGACTAGTATCATATTCCAGTTTTTCTCGACTCATACCTGCACGATATTTTTATGTTTGTATACGCGTTTTATTTGTTTTCGCAAAGAGAGTATCATATGGAGTTAGAACTTTAGAATTTTATAATTATTTGCTGTTTTCGAAAACTCGCGAAATCTCTGCGAGTGCAAAGACAAATTTGGATAATTTTCCAACTCGAGCGATTTATGTTTATCTCGAATATCGATTAATGTATATATATATGGTTTGTTATTTTTAGATTAGATTGAAATCGAAATTGGTTTCCGGAAAGGATAGTCAAATACTTACGAACGCTTGGTTTTGTTGTTGTTTTGTTTGTTAAATATTTGGCCAGTATAAATACCAGTATAATTTGTATATTCACAGCATCTTTTTTTCCCGTCATCTCTCAATTTAATAGATTAAAAAGTATATCTTTAGCGATTAAACCCATATTGTAATGCACCAGAGAGGCGTTTCTCTGGTTCAAACACACATACACAAACACGCTTGCCAGCCTCTCGAATCACATTTTTATAGGACTACCTATTGGTTATAGATGATCCGGAGGCATTTCCCAATAAACCTGATTAGTGATCGTTGGTATCATTTACTTTTCGGTTGACATTCTGAATAGATTGGCATGGTTGATTTTCTGTTTGCTTAAAATGTTAATTGAGAGTATGATATTTCCTTTTATCCAATTGTTTTCCGTCTGCTCGTTTTGCTAGAAAAAACTATCGAATGACTAATCGTCTTCTGCGCAAAGTTACTCCGATAAGAACCATCCGAACGATGATTTTAGCTGGAATGGTATTGTCAGGGCGTTCAACAATAGGGTGGGTGTTGATGCAAAATGTCCAGTTGAATGGGCGCAAAAGCAAATTCAGAGTCAGCTAAATCCATTGTCTGTCATCCCCCTTTTTGTGCGCCGTCGGGCTGCTAACGGGGATCGATAGAAAAATGTTCTCTAGGGATGTTCAAGCGAGCAAGTCGCTCTTCAAAATTTCTAAATTTCCCCGATTCTAACGCAAAACCAGCCCAACAAATCATCGTAGGACCATTTTCCAACAAAACAGCAAACGTACAACTTTTTTCCCTTATCTACAATTGATTTAGGACAATTTTCCTTAGCTCTACCCTTATCTATAAATAGAGAATTTCCTCCAATCGGAAAACTCCGCCGAGAGGACAAATAACACTACCGGCTACACACAGACATTGCACAAGAAACACGTACCATCATACCTTACCTGCCTTCCTTATCCTAGTAGAAGATCTCCTCCTCATCATCGTCCTGTCGCAGCGGAACCATGGTCGCCGTCCTAACCTCAACCATATCATCTGCGCCATTGAGCGACCTTCGACCTAAACTATTCGTATTCGAGGACTGCTGCTGCTGCTGCTGCTGTTGTTGGTATTGGGCCTTGGGCACGCAGTAAGCCGCCGTACTCTCGCACTCATCGCTGAACGAATCGCTAAAGGCGTCGTTGAAGGGCGTGGGCGGAGCCGGGCTGATGTCGTTCAAACTGATCGCATCACCATCGGAGGACGAGTTCTGACTGAGATTCAGCGATTGGTTGCGCTGATGGTGAGGCTGGAACTGCTGAACAGGGGGCGTCGCCATCGGGAAGGAATGTTGATGATGCAGCAGGGCCGACTTGGGTGGAATCGGTGGCGGAGGCGCTTGCGCACCGCCGGTCCCATTTGCCATCGTCAGCCGGCTCATCGAAATGTTCAGTGAGTCTTTGGTCATCTGCATGTTGAAGGATTCCGGATTGGAATTGGTCTTCTGGTGACCCCGAGGGGTGATCGCTCCGTTTCCGTTTGTGTTTGGCGAGATGTTGTACTCGTCCATCGTTTCGGCGGCGGCGGTCGTCGGGACCGGTTGATGGTAGTGATGGTGGTGATGACCTGTGTTGGCCAGCTCTTGCGAGCTTGTCGAAATCCCGGAGTCTCGGTTGAACGGTCCGAGGTCGTAGAGATTTTTAAGTTCGCTGGAACTCCTCGGACTTCCATAGCTGTGATTCATGCTTTCGCTGTAGGAGATTTCGTACAAGGAATACTTTTTGGAACGAGGCCTGGCCGGAGCGGAGCCCTGTTGTTGCTGTTCAACAAATTCGGTGAAGGGTATCGGGTTCGAGCTCCGCTTATCGGGGGTGTGACCTCGAGGAGGAAGCGGTGGAGCCGACGGGGACAAAGTTAGCGAATCTCTCGGAGGTATCTGCGGAGCCGGAATCGGCGACGAGGTCATGGCCGTCATCGGAATAATCCCCGATAGGGACAAGGTCTTCCGGCTTAAATAGGTGTACGTTTCGTCGTGATCTTCGGCAAAGTAGTGCTGTTGACAGTTGTTCTGAAGCGCCGCCGACGACTGATGCTGGTGCACATTGGCAGTTGGAAGCGGCGGCAGCGGCTTGGTTGGAATGTTAATGTTCGTCTTCCACTCGGCTGTGCTCTTTTCCAGCTCCAGGAACGCTTCCGACAACCGGTTATGCAGCGGCAGTACCTCCTCCGAAGCAAGACTCCGGTGCAGCTCCAGTGCCTGCCGTAGAATCTGCATCTGTTCGAAGATCAACCGCTTCAGCCGTTGGACGTGCAAGCTTTGGTCGCGACCTTCCGGCGATTTGGCGAACCGTTCGGTGAAGAATGCATCCTGGTACTTGTTGAAGCCACCGTTGACGTTGGCGTCGACCGAACCCTGCAGCCGCATGGTGAACGGGTTGAGATTGCGCTTCGGTTCCAGCCGGTACTGGACGATCAGATCGGACAGTTCCTTGTTGACGTTGGACACGCTCTCGCAGGCAAACTCCACCGGCGTTAGTTCGTGGATGGAGCTGAGGGAAGGGGAGATAATGTTAAAGGTCAGACTTCTTTTTTGGGAAACAATTTCAATAAAATTCAAACTGGTGGATTTTGCAAAATACTTCAAACTGTCCGTTGAATGGATCTAACAACTCCAGAGTGACGTCTACGGAAAAGCTCTACTGACATTTTCGAATTCCGTCAAGCTTTTGGCAAAATGGACAATCCAGTTGACTCAAAACCGACATCACTAGGCGTACGAATCTACGGGATAAAAGACCAATGATACTTACGCATTCGTCACCTCGAACCATCGCAAGATGCCGGGCAGTAGCAGCGCAATGTCGTAGATCGTCCGCTCGATCCAGAGCGACTTGAACTCGTTGTCCTTATCGACGACCCCTTTGTGAACGGGACGATCGTACTGGAACTTGGTAACATCGTTCACCTGTGCCGAAAAACCAAGCAAAGTTTAGCTCTTTTCGCACCACTTCTTCGATTCCACCCCGCTTACCTCGTAGTACTTGGAAATCTTCTCCGGCACGGTCACCTTGGCACTCTTCAGATGGCTCGGGTCGGAAATGGGCCGCACATTGACGACATGGAAGCGCTGCTCCGGCGAGTTCAGGATGGAACTATCCGGCGGGTAGTGCTTCTTGTCCAGGATCTGGGCAGCCGGAAACTCGATCTGCAACCGCTGGATGAACGCCCCGATCCGCTCGTACTCCAACCCGCGGTAGATGAATTGTTTGTTCTGCGCGGAAAAAGGGACCGAAATGACTAAACTATGACGGAGTCGAATTCCGACGGCTAAACTCACCCTAACAAACGAAGGAAATCCGGTTCCGTAGTAACCCACGCGGAAATACTCCGGTTCCGGCCTCAGCTGCGTCAGAATATTCTGGAAGAACTTCGCCTCCTGGATCAGAACGTCGCTCAGTCGGTTGTAGTCGAACCGCTTCCGCTCGTAGAACATGGCCAACTCCTTGCACAGTGGAATACCCTTCTCCCAGCATTTTCCCTTGTCGAAGTAGTTGATGATCTGAAAATGGCGATAGACGGCATTGCTGTTAAAATTCGTTTGCTTCAATTCTCTTGACCAGTATACGCACATTTTTGTACATCTTTTCCTTCTGTTCCCATTCCCGGGGTCCGTTGCTCTCATCGGAAATGTTTTCACTGTCCCAGGAGAGCATATCTGCGTACAGCTTCAATGTCAGCCCAGCTTCGATGTAGTTCTCGGCGCCTAAATGTAGATCCAGTAGCTTGTAGATGTACCTTTAACCATCAAATTAAAACAAAACTGTCATTTCAAATTCAAATCCGGAAAACTGAGCAAAACCCATCGACTCACCTCACATACATCTCCTTCCGGTTGATTTCGTCGTTGTAGAAGTTCAGCAAGTTCACCGTACAGGTCATCCGCTTGTCTCGGTTCTCGTCGCCCTGCATCACGCTCCGGTAGTCGAGCAGCCGTTCCAGTAGGCGCGTGACGGAAGAAATAAACGCCGTGCCCGATTCCCGCCACGAGGGATTCTCCGCCTGGACGCGTTCCAGCAGTCTAAGAATTAGAACCGTTATCAGGTTATTTTACAGGATCGGACATTTTATGGACACATGGGAAGAGAACCAAGGGTTGAAGGGGATTAGTGGAACCACTTTTCGGGGGGTAGTAAACACTTACGCTAGACACAATTGTTCCCTGTTTATGGTGGTGGTGGTGGCAGATGATGGGTAGTAGTAGTAGGCAGTAGATTGTTTTATTTTTTGGTAGTGGTAGTAGTAGCGGACCACATGCGAATTTGTTTTACAATGAGTTTATGCATGATTTTTAACAACGTGAGCGAGAGAAGCATGAAATTAAAAACAAACAAGAAAATACACACATGATGGCATATTGTATGACACTATTTTTTTTGTTAGTGGAAGCAGGTGATTATTACAATACATGTTCGTTCGGTTTAAATCTAAGTTTTGAGAAACAATAGCACTCACATGGTACTGAAGAGTTCACGGTACTCATCGTCGCCCTTGTTTTCACTGATCAGTAAATCCAGTTTGTCAATCAGTTCGCTTTCCACCAACCGGAAGGATCCTCGGGAAACCTGCCGGAAGAAAGAATGGATTTTTTAGACTAATTCATTGTTAATTTAAGGTTACACGAAACGAAAATTAATTATTTTATTCACTCATACATTTTTGTTAAAACATCAGCCTTATACATCCCATAGGACAAACCACATAGGTCCTATAAGATAATGATGATGATAGATTACCACCTATTGTAGCAAGGCGCCTGCACATAGCAAAGGACTGTTCCTTGTGCTCATAATATTACAATACTTCTCCCTCAAACAACACCATGATGACTTCATGCTCGATTGGCTACACTAACTGACAGTTCGTTTGGCTACATTATACTTTGCCTCCGCTTATCTATGGAATCTATAGTATCTATACTATTTATCGGTGCTATACACTGAACTACCGAGAAACGTAAATTTCACCTGAAAAATCAGGTAACATTTCAAAAATATGAATCCAATAAGAATTACATGCTGCACATAAATACCAATGGCATGGTAATGAATTCCACTCGATTGACTGATGGAGCTCAGGCACCGACGAACCGACATGCCACTGGAGCATTTCGTTTGTCCGCAATTCGATTTGTCAAATGAACGGTTCAATCTATGAAACGGGCGATCAGATCGATCAAACGAGTTGAGACGCAAACCAACTCAATATAAATTTTGCGTGTGTACGTGTCCTTGTTTTCGATATGACGCGATCGGATGAGTAGATGGCGGTAGTATTTAACCTATTTTAAATATGCCGTCTTGGGCAAGAATTTGAATATGGCTTCTATGAGCTGTCACGTCGGTTCGTCGGTGGTTCAAGCATAGAGGTAACTCTAAGACCACTGGGTCCCGAAGAAAATCATTATTATTTTTGGCTCACTCAGTACCAGAACAACGGTCCCAAGCAGTCCCAAGCTATTTCACTCACCCCTGCATGTTCTGCATGAATCCACACACCCCTGATGTTATCTGTCAAACTTTCATAGCGAATCAAAACAAACATAGTGTAGTAATAGAGTTTCAACTAGAATAGGGTACGTTAATCGTTTGCTTGGGACCAATAGGCTACTAAAGTGGTGAGCCAATTTAAAATCGTTAGTTTCGTATTGATTGTTGGTTCAAGTGTCATATTGGTAAATGTTAAGTGAAGTTCACGTAAATTTTACTTGACCTCATGATGTGAAAACTGTCTTTGCATTAGTTCAAAATAACGGCAGATGAAAATATGCGTTTTTTGTTGCTAGTCGGGATTTTTTATGTTTTTGAGCGTAAGTTTGATTAACATCAATAAATGAATCCTGATTTTCAATATCTAAAATAAATTGAAGAGTGTAAAATCGGACTGAGGAGCAAACAAAGGCAAAACGATCAACTAAATATAGTTACTAAAAAGAACAGTTTTATTTTGTCTGTGGTTTTATGTTAATTATAATAATGTAAAAAATCAACAAATATGTTAAAATTTATTTAAAAAAAAATCGGATGATAAAATTAAATACCACTGCATACCGAGTTTGTAAGTCGCCGCGATCGGACGTATGCATAAATAGCTCTATAGAGCATCAAATTGCATATCGGTGCTGATTGCTTGTGAAGTGTGTGGACCGACGAAGTGCATTTTTTTCGTTCTTTTTTGCCAGACCAAGCAAGTTTCGCTGCACAGTGAATAGAGGGCAAGAAAGGCAATGCCCCATACAGGCGGCCCCAGTGGGGCCCCTGGTCCCCTTTTCCCAGGGGAAGACTTCCCAGCACTCGGTCAGCAAAGATTCTCCGGGAAGTTTTTAGTGATCGAAAGAGTTGATGAAACAATTCAAACTTGGTGCGGTGGTGACAATGTCGAACAAATAAGAAGAACAAAGGAGGGTAAATGTCTAATCAAGACGAAGAACGATAGACAAGCTCAAGCTCTGCTTAAGCTAAAAACTATCTCTAGTGATATAAACGTTAAGATCTACGAACACAGAATACTAAACTCGTGCAGAAAAGTTATCACGAATCGCGACCCTTACGTAGTTACGGAAGACGAAATGCTTGAAGTGCTAAAAAATCAAAACGTGACAAAGGTAGAACTGATTAAAACGAAGCGCAACGGCGTGGTAAGTGCAACAAACTCGTTCATCATAACGTTCAACAGTGTAAATGCCCCCAAGTATGTGAAGGTAGGCTTCGTACGAATTGCTACTAGGCCGTTTTACCCTCGGCCAATGCGATGCTTTCAGTGTTTTCAATTCGGACACATCGGCAAAGCGTGCAAAGGAGAAAAAAGGTGCTACAACTGCAGTAAATCGTTCCATGGGGATTCATGTGACAACACTCCCCAATGCATAAATTGTGCTGACAAAGAGCAACAACAACAACAACACCGGCCTACAAGTAACAGCTGTCCAGTATGGAAAAGGGAAAGTACCATAATGAAGATCAAGGTTGATCAGAACCTAACATACAGAGAAGCAAAACAAAAAGTGGAAAAATCGGAAAAAAAAATGATTACTCTGAAGCGCTTAAGAAGAATCTGGAGACCAAATTTGAAGATACATTGAAGAAGAGGGAAGAATGGTTTCTCGCTGAATTGAAGAAACGAGATGAAAAAGAGAAGGAAAGGTTGGACCAATACAAAAATCACTTAAAAAAATGGAAAAACAGATGAACGAGTACAAAATGGAGTTAGAAAAGATCAAAAGTCAATATCAAGCTGAGCATGAAAAAAGGGCAGAACTTGAGGATCAAAATAAAGCCCAAGATTTGACTATTCAAAAACTTCAAAAAAAACTTAAACTATACGCCGATTACGGGGACTACAAAAGCAGTCGAAAAACCCAGCAACATGAAAGTATCGGGGCCTCCCCACCTAGGAAACGAGGAAGTAAGCGAGGCAAAGAAGATAAACAAATTGAACAAGAGGAAAATAGTGACATGGAAGTTCAATAAATATCGGAAGAAGATGATCAAAGCGATGAACAACACTGCGAACAAATTAACACAAGACACAGAGTAAACAGCAGGTAACCCCCCAACAAAAAAAAAAAAACAAAATGCAAAGACCCAAAAAAACAAGTATCATAACATGGAATATTCAAGGATTACGCACCAGTAAACAGGAGCTAACAATGCTAAACAATGAAATTGAACCACTAATAATATGTTTACAAGAAACCATGTGTAAAACTGACGCACTGGCAACCATTGGAGGATACAATGTAATACACCGAAAAAGGCAAACCAATAACAGAGCAGCCGGAGGAATAATAACTGCCATCAAAGAAGGTATAGATTATAAAGAAATAGCAATCGACACACAGATGGAAATAACTGCTGTTAAAGTAGAACATCCCATTAACGCCACTGTAATAAACGTATACTTACCGCCAAACACAGTTATAGATAAAAATGAAGTCGTACGAATCCTATCGAAGGTACAAAAGCCGTATATCATGCTAGGAGACATGAATGCACACCACTACTTATGGGGAAGCGAATTTATTAACGCTAAAGGGAAAGTTCTAGAAGAAGTATTCGACGAAATGGAACTAACAGTGTTAAATGACGGAGAATATACATATATAAATAACGCAACAGGGAAAGAATCATGTATCGACTTAATCAGCTGTACTAACAACTCAGCAGGAATAATAGACTTCGAGGTACACGAAGATACGCAGGGAAGTGATCATTTTCCGCTCGTGATCACCCTACCAGCAAACTCAGAAATCAGTAGCAGCACACAAAACTGGCAAATAGACGAAGCTGACTGGGTTCAGTTTACAAATACAGTCTTTTTTAGAAGCATAACAACAGTAGAAGAACAAATTGAAGAAATTACAAAACAAATTATTAAAGCAGCTGACAAATCCATACCGAAATCAAAAGGATTCCCGGGTAAAAAAAGAGTCCCGTGGTGGAATGCTGAAGTTTCAAAAGCCGTCAAAGCCAGACGAAAAACACTCAGAAAATTAAAAAACAAAAATACTCTCGGAGAAGAAAGACAACTCGCATTACAAAAGTTTCAGACCAGAAGACAGGAAGCGCGAGACCTAATCAGCAAAGCCCAAAAACAATCATAAGAGGAATTTGCAAATAGTTTCACAGCAAGCACCCCTATAAAAGAAATTTGGACCAATCTCAGAAAGATACAGGGCAAATACAGTAAACCAACCATCAGACAAATCAAATTTAATGGTCAGGTAGCAAACGAGAACAAAGGAATTGCTGACCTTCTAGCCAAGGCCTTCAAACTGTATCTAGTAACGAAACGTATCATAAGGAATTCATTGAATATAAAAATAAAATTAAACGTACCTGAAAATCCAGCTGATGAGTATAACAAACCCTTCAATCAAACTGAACTAGAAGCAGCAATGGAAAACCTCAAAGGAACATCACCAGGACCAGACAACATTCATAACATGATGATCAAAAACTTTCCACCAGACTGTAAACGGATCCTTATAAATACCTTCAACAGGATGTGGAACGAAGCTTACTATCCAACCCTTTGGAAAACAGCAACGGTAGTACCCATTTACAAAGGCAAGGGCGAAAGATCAAACCCAAATAATTATAGACCAATATACCTAAATAGCTGCTTAAGCAAAATCTTTGAAAGGATGATAAACAATCGTCTGGTCCATATCTTAGAGTCCCAAAACCACCTGTATGAACATCAATATGCTTTTCGAAAAGGCAAATCGACTACGGACCATATAACTATGACCGAAGAATTCATTAGAACGGCTATGAGCAAAAAAATGATTACGCAAGCAGTTTTCTTGGACATCAAAAAGGCCTATGATACAACCTGGAGACGATTAGTCTTGAACGAGCTATCCCAAAAAGGGGTTGGAGGAAAATTACTGGCTTATATCCACGAAATTCTCAAAACAAAACATTTCAAAGTTAGAATCAATGGACAATACTCTGACGAAGTAGAAATGGAAACTGGACTATGCCAAGGATCGGTCTTGAGTGTTACACTGTTCTTAATTGCTATAAACACGATAACCAGCTCCATCCCAGACGGAGTAAAA